CGGGAAGTCGACGTTTGGACCAACAACTCGCAAAATTCAAGCGACTCTTGAATTCCATCTCGAGTCGTGCTAACACGAAGTGAATCCTTGTACAGTAGTCCAATGCCTCCACCTATCCGTTCTTGTCGTGGAAAGTCAATAAACTTGTAACCAGGAGGACACAGTTCTATTCTTAGCGCATCATCATGGGGCTGGAGCCACGTCTCGGTAATCACAACCAAGTCATATCTACGTTCACAGACGTAATCTACAAAATCGGCTGTCTTGTTGCGCACCGACTGGGCATTCATGTGACAAAATGACAAAAAGACCCCATTTACGTAGTTGGCAGACAAACAATGCACTTTAGTAAAGTTTGAGACGTTCCTAGTTGTTGATTTAGACAATGAAGAACGTGATTGAGGCGCCCGTAAAGTTCCATTATTTTGATGGCGTGATTTCACAATTGTTGATATACCGCATCCCGCTATCAAATTCGCAAAAAAAAGAACTTTGACCCAAATAATCGATCCTGAACGTAACGCTAGCCACAGGGCGGAAAGCCGCAAAATGAAGCGTCGCTTGCGTCGGGAAATACAACTGTGCAACTGTGAAAGAATCGGGGGTAGGGGGGCGAATGAAGTTACCGTTTAAAGAGTCAATGTCACAAAAACGAAAACTTCAATTCCACCAGCCGAGGGCGGGGAGTGAAGCGAAAAAGGTGATCCTAAGCCGAATAGGACTCCATAGCTACCTACCTCCGGCTTGTACGAAGAGGGGAATGGGCCCCACCGCTAAAGCAACTGACTAATGGAACCAGCCATCCCAGCTGATTTGCGATAGAAAGATGACTCATTTTGAATTGCAGAATTCGGCCAAAGACGCTACACTAGCTGAAAACGTGCTTCTCTGGAATCTAAAACGTAGAACAAATAGTGCGGACCGCAAACCCGAACCACTCGCTCACTTGTATAGAGACCCGTTGGGACCCGTTATTTCTCCTTACCAATTAGGAAACCGGAAGAATAAACCCCTTGAGCTCAATAAAAGCTACCGGACGACGGAAGTCCTCTGAGATGACTACCAAATGCGTCATCGAGATAAAAAAAAAAACTTCAGACCCACGCATAGAAAGCCAGTAAAACAAAAACAAACGCTAAACTAGACCAAGGGACTTGGATTTCTTTTCTGCTCTTCTCTCTGCCCTATACATCAGTCTTCCTGTCGTCCTCAAGACTCGACGCAGGCTCGCCGGAAAGGTATCCATTCACAGTCGACCAACCAAAGGCACTTTATCGGTCATTTAAAAACCTTTATACGCGCAGAAACCAACCAGTACCTGCTCCCAGGACCGACTTAACCTCGCGGTAGAATTTGGACTTAAACGCGTCAGTTCCTTAAAGTTGCCAAGCATTAATGCAGGGCGTGATCCCAAGCTGCTGCTGATTCCCTTGTCTTTCACAACTAAAACTTCGCTGCTGGCCTTATTAACAGTATTAACGGCTTGCTCGACTGTCGCGTTATTTTCGCAAGTTCCTCCGAAAATCGCTTTGTGAAGCCACTAAGGCGATCTTTAATAACCTGCGTAAGGTTATCCGCTAAAGAACCGATAAACTCCGCAACAGAAGCCCTAATAGCCTCATTAATGGGACCCAACCACTGTGGCATCGCTAACGTTAACGGACGGAACTGAAGATCCTTTCTTCTTGCTCATTACGCGAACGATGAAATCAGACTGTGGGTTGTTAGGCGTTCACAGACCTAGCCTGTGAACAGGCTCTCTGTTTTGGGATGGGGTGAAAAAATCGCGAGGAGAGGGAAGGAAAAGGGTGAGAGCCTGTAGACAAACATTTGAGGCCACTATTCCGCCTTCTTTTCTTGTAATTGCCGATCATCTGTCAGCAAGATCGTTATCTGTCACTTGGATACATTGGAATGTAATCAATTTCGAGTGTAAAAAAAGGGGTCGGTAGGCAACACACAACTTTTATCTCCTGCCAAAGTGCTGCTTTTTCCAATGAGTTTTTTCTGCTCTGGAGGGTTTAGTTTTAAATGAGAAAATGTGATTTTTGCCGTTTATTTCATTCTGAGAGGTCGTGACATGCATACTGATTTTCTGCGGTTATTGTTTCTGGTCGGCGTGATTTGCCCGGGTGATTGCCCTCTGATGCAAGAACATTCATTGCGGCTCAAAAAGCTCATCGGTCAACCGCCAGAAGACGCCATGTTCAAGATCAGAAGACGTGTGTACAAGAGAATATTTAAATCAAATTGCGTACTACGTGCCGACCAAAAAAGCGATGTAAATCGAACCTGTGTTCTCGCCAATGGGAGCTTGCATTAGGATCTGATGCACAGCGGGTGCTGTGGAACGACGGTCCCAAATGTTAGTCTACAGGCTCTCACCTGCCTTCTCTCTTCTCGCGATTTTTTTCACCTTTTCCCCAAACAGAGAACCTCTTCACAGGCTATCACAGACCCGAAGCATGTATTCCAATATTCTCCATGATTCGTTGCCTATTTTTTTGTTGTTGTTGTTTTTCTATCAACTTCTAGAAAGTGCAGAAAGGGTCGGTCCACGAATTCTATCACTTAAAACCATTGATTACTTTTTAATAAGGGAATACTTCAGTGGTCAAAAAAATACGAATCTTTATGAGCAAACCTTAGTCTGGTACACAGCCGTTTTTGAGGAGCGTTGCGTGACGACACTAAAAACGGCTGTGTAGCAGACTAAGCAAACCTTCGATGGCTCCGCTTTTGTAAACTTTCATTGTATGCAAATGAGTCTTGTGACGAGCATGCGGGTTATTTTCGGCGATGACTGCAATGACGCGCCGTGTTCATCACGTTTTTGCGCTTTGGTAATGATGTAATTTCTCTCGAATTGACGCCCTTGATTTTCTTGCATTTATATACGCGTACTCAAACAATTCAGAAACAAGTCGTAGAACACGGTATGAAACGTAAATATCACAAGAAATACTTGACCGTCGATAACGTAGGACGTGAAAAATTTTTAGCGAGGAAATCCTGTTTCGTGTAGAATTAATCGCCTCCTTATTTCTTATCTAATCTCCAAGCGAGCTCGACTAAGATTTTAAGAGCGTTCTTGTAACATCCATTTCAAGTCAATAATAGCGAAAAAACCGCTGTATGGCTATATTTATGACAGCTGACAATGACGTGGGACGCGGTAAGAAAAGGAAGATATTACAGAGAGGAAAAGAAAAAAGCAAAAATGTACAAACTTTCGAAAACTCTTTTATAATTCATGAGCTCAACAACCTATCACGTCCGCTAATCTCCGTCACGTGCCCGTGTTTTAAACCCCGGTAAAACACTGTCAAACTTTAAGAATTTCATCCTTATTAGTATTCTTATATATAAAATACTAATAAGGATGACATTTTATTTCATTGCACGTGACCTATGAATATTAATTTCAGAACAGCAACTGATACAAAAATGGTGGGTGAATATTTAATGTTCTTTCAACGTAACACACGCAGTAAATTTACTATTGCAAAAAATTGGACTTTGTTCTTTCACCAATTTAAGAGTTCAGTACTGTGACACAGCGGTAATATTGGCGCTAGCAGTGTCCAAGCGTTGCACTCAAGAGTTGCCAGTTGTGAATACGCAAGGCTCCAGTACCGGATTTTTGTTTACCTACCATTCGGCCATTCCAGAAAACGGTTTTCAAATAATACTTTTTCAGTGGAATAGTCGACTTTGGGGTACCATTTTAAATTAACTTCCTCTCTTCCTCGGCATTTTTAGGCTTCCGAAAAGCTCTGGAACAAGACGCTATGTCCTCTTCGGTTAGTGTCGTTTTACTAAAGAGAAATTAATAATAACGATTTATTGACAGTATTTCTGGTCTACATGGTAGCTCTATATCCGTCATGCTAACTGAAAACTAACGACTTACATAATGTTATTCAAAAATCATTCACTATTTTACAAAATGCACTTAAAAACTGTTTAAACTATATCATCTAAAATACTATAATTATGTTCTTTGAGTAACTATAACTAAGAAACCTTATCAAGACAACTTGTAAGGTTAAACCTAGGCGCTTGTCGGCCCTTCTCTTTAAAATTGTAAAACAATTATTTTTGAAAGTATTTAAGGTGGTTCCGTAATTAATACAAGAGCATTTAGCTGTGACAAATTTTCCGTCATAACTTTTTCGATTTTAACGCGATGGCTGCGAAACTTTTTCATGACCCTTTTATTTGGCTTGCTAACTATGTGAGACTGAGCTTCCTTGTCGAGTCTCCAATTTTGTATCTAGCCTTCTTTAACACTATTTTAGCTGCTTTATTCAGGGCTTTTGGCCTTCCCCTTAGTTTCTTCCCTTCAAAACCTTCATTTCTCCATGATCATTCTACCACCCAACATTCGAATTTTTCCAGGTTTTTAGCAATTTCTACAACAGATAAGCCAGTAACAAATCGAAGTATACAGGCTTATGCTCTCACGCAGCTGAACGTTTTTGCGTTAAGGTGGTTCATCTTTCGTGATATTCACAAAAAAACAAGGAAGAAGCTCGAGCAATTCGGGCTATGAAATACAAAAATATGTGCCTGGAAAATATACTCGCGCACGCTCACCTTTGGCGCGGAAGTACACAAATCGAATATTCGAGTCAAAAGATGACACAACAAGTATGAAAATAGTGAATTATATTGAAAGACACAATTTTTGTTGAAATGATTCGCTTACCAAGTCCAATCGTACTGAAATACAGACTTATGAAGTAGAGGAAAGAACTTTTGGGACTCCCTGTACATTAGGAAGGTTTTTAATCGGAACAAACAATACGGCATTTTAAAAATGTAGCTGATGCGAATACACTGTATAGGCACATGCACTTTTTTAAGGAGCGAAGAGATTTCGTGTACTTCACCGCTCCAGTCTCTCTTTGACTTAAGACTTAAGGGAAGCAATGGTTAATTCTCTTTAGTTTGTCTTTGGTTAATAGACAAATGACTTGAAATTATCCAATCTCGTTATGGAGAGACTGAATGAAGGCTCCGCGATTTCACCAGATGACACAGAAAACAGTGGCATTACAGATGCTGTTCGAGAGGAAGACAGAGTACAGCTCCTTGCTGGCCACGCAACTGAAATAGCTTCTGTATCAAGACAGTCTGATGGTATTTACATTCAATACTCATGACAGAATTTTCACTGCTAATCACTCGTCTCCCGCGCACTTGTCTCCTGCGTAGCTAGCCTACGTGGCAGGCGTTAAAAGGGGAAGGGGAAGGAGGAATTTGGGCGCGCGAGGGAGAAAGGAAGGAAACGCGTGCAAGGAGACCATTGTTTTCTCCATTTTTCACGCTCAAATTTTGAGCGTGAAAATAGTGATTGGTCAGAATTAATTAAATGTCAATCTTCGACTTAATACCTTTTTCCGATCGGTTGAAAACAATATCACGCCATTTGAGTAACTAAACATATGTTGTTAGTGAAGCGCGATGAGATTTCTCCACGAGAATTCATCGTTAGAAGGCATCGATTTCAGCTTGAAAGCAGAACAGAAAAAAAGCAGTTAAAGAACCGTATGAAGGTTTTGAAAAGTATCATCTCCCAACGGCTTGTCGGTTTTACTCACTAGAAGAAAGAAAGGAAAAATCATGGTGCCTGTGTGCGTGTTATCTGCTAATTGACCCGCGATATCAACGGCAAGGTAGTTGAAGACGAACCCTCAGCGATTTTTGGTTGAGGACTTCTTCATGCTGGTTATAAAACCGCCATGAACATACTTTAATAATGAATTGCTGCATTCTTGCAGATCTTGGAAGTTCAGCTCCCTGCTACCAGCGTTCTTTTGTGTGCTCCGCTGGATCCAATTCGTTCTGTTAGAAATTCAAAGAGTGACGGCAAAGTGTTTTAATTTTTCTCAGACAAACATTGCATTGAAAGTTGCCAAGAGCCGCTACATTTCTTATCAAATAGTTTTCCAGCCCGATTCCTTCAGCAACAACTTGAATTGGATTTATGCTGGATTGGATGTCACTCGGCACGCGTCGTTGCAACTTTCAAGGAAGATTCCTTCAATGGACGACCGCATTTGGACTTTTTTATAGTACCTTCACTTTAGATTTGTTGTATAGGAAAACAAAAGAAAAACAGTGCGAGAAATACGACTAGAATACGTGCATCGTGGCCAGACTTATTTGACAGCTAGTCATTCACAGTTGCGTTATTTTTGTTATTTTTTTAATTAGTAGGCGGGATGGCGAAAACAATGGCTTGCTTGCAGGCGTTCCCCTCCTCCCTCCTCCCTCGCGCGCGGTCTCGCGCCCTTACTCCCTTCCCCTTCCCTTTCGAACGCCTGCCACGCAGGCTATTGAGTAGCTAGAAAATAGCAGTTGCGCTGGAGACTATGTTATAACATATTGCCCCCTTAAATTTTTTTACTTCAAAATTGCGGAAAGAAAATGTTAATGATCAAAAGCTGATACGGAAAAAAGCCTATTTTCTGGTCCGAAATTCCACTGAGCTACAGTAGATATACCGATGCAATTTTGAATGTTGTGACGTCCTCGGTTGCCGTCGTCAATGCTATCCATTCATGGTTTTCACGCAAGCGTCAACCAGAAAAAACTGAACAAAAAAAACGTCATAATAACTCAATTCATTGATAATATTATCCTTTTCTGATTGGCTCGAATCCCCTGAGAAATTCTTCATAACCGACTAGCGTTGACCAAATTTGGAAGACGTTTGTAATATCCGGTATTATACTACTGCATGAGAAATTTCTGCAACTTGGTTGGCTCAGAGCAGTGTATTTCTGCTTAATTTGAAATACCTACAGTGAAAATTACACATATTTTGCGGGTAGTAGTATAAACAAATAATAGCATGTTTTGTACGTGATATCTGGCATAAATACCACTCGCGATATTTTAAATTAAAATTGCCTCAAATTAATTACGTATAATAATTTTGAAATATCACTAGTGGTATTTGTGCCAAATGTCGCTACAATTCATGCTATTACCTATACAAATAACGTCAATAGTGCAGGCTATCGCCGGCAAAACGAAAGGCAACCGAGAAGTACTGGGGACGAAGTTGCGTTTGTTCCGGTAGAGCAGGAGAAAATGGCGGAAGATTTTACACGTTTTGCAAAGTAGATATTGCCAAACTTTTGCCTTAAAAACGTGGCAAGAACAGCAAAAACACTGTTTAACGCGTGACAAATGAAGAATATGAAGAGTAATCTCCTATACTTAATATTCCTTTACATCCTGAATTTGCGGAGGAGCGAACAACTAATGACGGGAACTTAACATCGTTCGAGGTATATAAGCTAGGGTGTGAATTGTTTCGAATGTATACTGAAATAGTTATTAGATTCGGCTTCCGTATGATCTGAAGAATTATGAGGATCGATGTTAGAGGGTGTTATTCACCTCGACGGATAACGCCCTTTTCGATCTTCTCAGCCGTATCCAATATTCGCTAGATATGCGATGTTAACATTTTCCCTTTCATAAGCGGCTAGTTTCAAGCAATTTTTGTCGATAGCATTGTCATAAGCTGCCACCGGTTACTTGATGTTGTTCCTTCCTTGTTTTAGGGGAATTTTCTGTTGACCTGCCAAGAAGCCACAATGAGGGACAAAAGTGTTGACACACTTCCGTAAAATGGCCCCTTTTTGCATAGTGGATATACTTATCCCCTTCCCCTGTCTACTCCAACCCCTTCCCCCCAAAATCAATGTTGAATTTTAGACCCTCAAGTCTTTTTTTTACTTCAGACAACATTGATTCGGGGGGTCGGGGGATTTACGGCGTTTAAAAGGAATGAAATAATAAATGAATGAAATGTTTGTTAAAAGCACCCGTTTTAAACAACTGTGTCAACTACTTTTGTCCCTGATTGTCTGAAATATGTATCTGTGTTTTCCGGCTAGATTTTTGACGCTGCTGAATTTTTGTGCGATGACGTTACTCTATGGGCCAAATTGTTTTTTTTAGAAACAACAATTTGTAAAGTTTCGTCCTGATTTGTAGTATACGTAGAGTAAAATGTACGAAGCGTATGTCATCACTTAATCTTGTACTTCCGCGCGCGTTCCTGATACCCTGTGGGGTCGAGAGGAAATCATTTGTGTTATGATCAATGCCGTTGCAGCGGATGTAATGTTTTCACAAGTATTATCAATAGTGGAAAAAGGATGGAAACACTAAGGTGCAATGGAAATTGTTCTGGTAAATGATTAACTTAAGCGAATGAAGTACTGCAGAGTAACTGAGGGGACATGCATTATTTTTGACATTGACTTGTGCCATTAGTGAAAGGACGTGAACAATATACAGGTTATGAACCTCATAAATGATGGGCCAGCCGTTTGTGCTATGTCCTATATATAGATGTGTGTTTTTTTTGGAGACCTTTTCAAACCTAAGTGATCCAAACCTTTAGCGTAGGTAGGCGTCGAACAGGTTAGACCAGGTTTTGGAATGTACTTTTGTAATGATTTTAGATGACCGCCTGCCATTTATTCAGTGGCATAATTTTTTTATTGATGTTGGATGGACAACTATTTCATTTCCCAGCTCGTAAATCACAGAATACCAAAGAAATTGTTTTCAAGATAGACACACCAGTTTGCGTCATCGCCAAAACAGCAATTACTTTTGCCCAGAAGTTCACTTGATGACAAGGAAAGCGGGATAACATGTGATCAATGACGGCCGTGCGCTGGAAAATTTTCCTTTTTTATGCGCTAATTCCTCACGAAAGGCAAAAGAAGATTCCGCTATGTAGAAAGTACTTCGCAATACGTATTCTTGGCAAGAAAAATTCCAGCGATGTGGTGCAAATAAGGAGTTTCAACGGTTAACCACGAGAATACATATGGACATTAAGAGGTCATAACAGACTCATTTTACTTTTCGTTTTCCGAAACGTGGTTAACCGTTGTAACACGAAGGAAGCAGTGTTTTCCTCAGTTTGAGCTGTCGTTTTCTTTGAGAGTCAAATACCAGTTCACGTTTCAAAGCTCTCTTTTCATTTTCTCTGCCGACAATAGACAAAAACACAGGGTTTCGCTTGAGAAATACAGTCCAAATACACAGACATATGCGCTCATGTCACGCTATTTGCGTTGCGTTATCATGTCACTCATGGTGTCACGAGGTGGGATTGAAAGTAATTGTTTTCGTGGACACTTGCAATGTTTGCTACGCTGTCCTTAGTTTTTTATTGAATTGGCCATGAATTTACCTTCACTTTTCCGTAGTTTCGATATTGAACGCAGTGACGGCCGCTCCTCACTAACGTTCCATATTTCCGTGACTGGCCAGTGACTATCTCCACTACTTGTCAATCCTTACCCTACCCGTGATTGTTTGCGCCTTAACAATCGGATAAAGTGAAGAACGAGAAATATTCACTTTATTAAAAATATTTTCAGTACGCATACCCTTGAAATTCATCAAAAGTTGTACATGTGTGCGAGTTTCAGCGTCAGTTTTTAGCATGTAAACCATATCGACGTTTATTCTGGATATCGCAGCCCTTTTATTACGTCATCACGTAATTCGAATTGGCCCTATAATTCGGTCGTGAATAAGTCAATGTCACCCCCACCACCAATAACATAATTATGTTATTGATTCCTTTAATTTCAGTTAAAATCAGTGTCATAGACGGCTCAACTTGTGTGCAGTAGCACAATTTTGCATTCAGACAATGAGGGACAAAAGTGTTGACACACTTCCGTAAAATGGCCCCTTTTTGCATAGTGGATATACTTATCCCCTTCCCCTGTCTACTCCAACCCCTTCCCCCCAAAATCAATGTTGAATTTTGGACCCTCAAGTCTTTTTTTTACTTCAGACAACATTGATTCGGGGGGTCGGGGGATTTACGGCGTTTAAAAGGAATGAAATAATAAATGAATTAAATGTTTGTTAAAAGCACCCGTTTTAAACAAGTGTGTCAACTACTTTTGTCCCTGATTGCAGCTTGAAACACCTGAATCCATTCTAACACCCGGAGACGTACCTCCCGAGAGAGCACCGAAGCCTTGCAGGCTGACGACGCAGGACAGTGCTTATGACAGCGGCGGAAGCCAAGAGAGCATTTCCTTAGAAAATGACAATGCCTTTGACGGAGAAAGGTACATGGACTGTATAAAGGGCATAAACATAGTAAATTAGCAGTAACCTCTGCGGTCTATTGTTGACTGCATTTTTAGGAAGATTTACAGTTGTACGTACCTGTGAGAATCCATAGTACATTATTTTTCTAAAGAATTTTGCATGCGAACTGAACAATCAATGTAACCCCCGTGAGAGCACACTATTAACTAATTCATTTCGCATACCTTTCATGGTGAGAGTCATAAACGTGATTTAACATATTTTCCTTATGAAGGCAACATGATGTGCGGAACCGGCTACATGTTGTCAAATCGCCACCCATTGCCTGCACCCAGTCCCGTAAGTGCATTCATCTGGATGCCAAAGGATAAAATTCTAGCCGACCTCGCATGACCAAAGCTTGTCCTGAAATCTTTGTGCTCGTCAATGGCAGTAATATTATATTTAGTGTGTCGTCAATTTGATTAACTTACAAATGCATTATTGCTCAGTAATGTCTACACTATATCAGTCAGTAGTCAAATGCTTTTGCTACCTCTTCTAACAGGAAGAAATTTTCTTTTGAAATGAAAATATTTATAGCGTTATATTAAAGGAGCATGCAGAAAGCTGGGAAATTGACATGAAGAGACTAAAAGTGTCTGATTTCGTGCTTGGAGAGGGAGAATTTGGAGTTGTTAAAAGAGGTACCTATCGCGGACTTGATGGAAGGACCTGTAATGTCGCAGTAAAGCAGTTAAAAGGTATCACTTGAATCAAGAACGTTTTTTAATACTCGGAAAATAAAATTTTGTTCGCCAAATTAATCAGTTGCACTATTTTTTTTTTTTTTTTTTGCCATTCTCCGCAATGAAACCTGCAACTGAAACGGACGCTATGTACTTCACTATTTTCTTTCTTCTACTGACTTTAAATTTTATTTCCGATTATTCAATGATAAATAGAATGATATGTGTGGAGATTAGAACTCAGAACAAACTCTGAGTTCCAGAATTTTAACAGATAAAATTATATTATCACGGCAGATATTAAAAACTCACCTGATTAATCACTGGGCTTTTCTATACAGATGGCACAAGTATCACTGACAAAAATGATCTGTTAGGGGAAATACAGATGTTGAAACAAGCTGGATGGCATCCAAACATCGTTGCTTTAATAGGAGCATGTACTCAAGAGGGTATGTTTTACCCTAGTCAGTATGTCCTTCCGCATTATCTGTTAACGTTGATTTAACAGGGCTCAATTTTCATTACTTTATTATCAATTTATTATTTTTCTAGAGGAGATTCTCGTTGTGACTGAACTTATCCCTAACGGAAGCCTGGAAAAATTCCTGAAATCAAAGCGGATGGTAGGCGTTCCTGGCGAAGCGAGTACTTATGAAAATGTGCATTTTGGGCTAAACGACCGGGAGTTACTTGTTATTGCATATCAAATTGCTTTGGGAATGCAACACTTAGAGGAGAAAAAGGTATGAACTGACAGAAGTTCTATTACCCTTCTTAAGCGCATTGTATCAGTAACTGATAAATTCAGAAAACCGTTACAGCCAGAAATAGTCTGTGTTGCAGGGAAAAGCTAACCAGGCGTGAGAAAACTAAACCTCAACCTTGAGGGATTCAAGTCGCTGGAAAAATCGAACATACGACAGAATGAAACTATTTCAAGCCAAGGAAATTCAGTCTTTGATAAAATTTAATCTTGGGCAAGCTCTCTTCCATTTTCAAAGGATGGTACTCTTTCCGCTTCACTGAGCCTCTCCGTTTGCTTGCCACATTGGTGAATGAAAATTAAGGGGCTGCCCGCATTCTATAAGCCATATTGTACGCCCGTTATATATGTTGATAAAAAGACCATAGTGTATACTTGTATTATAACTGACATAAAAGAATGAAAATTAAACCCTTTCAAAAGCAGAGGAGGGGAAGGGAGGTCGAGTTCCTCTCATGGTTGAACCATCACTATTTGGATATCAATTAAGAATCTAAGAGATGACCGTCACAGGTCGCCCGGCAGTTTTATATCCCATAATATTAACTTCTTTTGGTGGAGCGTCTATGAAAAAAAAAATAAACCAAAACAAAACAAACAGACGATTGAAGGTCTGCGACCAAACTTGCCACTCTTTGGTCAGGAAATTGACCACCCAAGAAAATACCATAACATACCATAATGCTCTTTGTTTGTCACCCCAAAATTTTGCATAAGCATAGTTTTCAGCTTCTCTTGGGGCCATTTCAACTCCCAAGAGAAATTGTAGACAATGCTTATGCAAAATTTTGGGGTGACAAACAAAGAGCATTATGGTACGTCATGGTATTTTCTGTAGTGGTCAGTTGTTTGTTGTTGCAATTGCACCTCTATCAGGACTAAGATAGCCTCCTATGCAGATCGTTCTCAAGCGTTCTCACTTATTTCGCAGTTATCTTTTGTATGTTTGAGTCTCTCCCTACAGGTATTTACATTTTATACTTTTGCTATTATCATTAGAGGGTCGATTCTATTCTTTTCTAGTGTATTCATCGAGACCTTTCAGCTAGAAATGTCTTCATTGGCGAAAACCTCGTGGCAAAAGTTGGTGACTTTGGATTGGCAAGGGATATCTCGTTCGATGGCATTTACACCAAAACATCTCCTGTAAGTACATGTTAGTTCGGGAATCGCTCTTTTTCTAGTATCCTTAGTTTAACCGTACAATCCAAGTACGCTAGCACAAAGTTCTTTACTTCTACCTTTTCCTTTTCCTAACCTACTGTCTGTAGCTTCTAAAAAGAGATTTTTTTCTCTTCTATAGGGTAAAGTACCTTGGAGATGGATGGCGTTAGAATCGTTAAAAGATCGTGTATATACTTCCAAAAGTGACGTGTAGGTGTCCTAACTGCTTGTGTCCAATCGTTAAGGTCATCTCGATTTTTTTTCAAGTAATTCCATACCATTTACTTATGTATGTAAATTGAATTATTCTTTGACTTATATTGATATCTTTCTGTTTCTTTCGTTTCCTTAAAGATGGTCGTATGGTATTGTGTTGTGGGAGATTGCCACTTATGGTGGGTATTAAAAGTAGACAAACTTCTAAGTTGTCTTCTAATTAAGATATATAAAACTTACCATTTTATATATAATAAATACGTTCCGTAGAGTATTAGTAACACCAAAAACGAATACAAACATATCACGATATTTTGTTCTAGGGAATAGGCTATTTATATTCTTGAAGATCGGTTTGAGAAGTATTTTTTGCAAACGCTGTGCATAGTGGAAAATTCATGTTTTCCAGAAATAAAAAATGCGAGCGAAATTGTAAGCCTAAATATTACCGAATTTCTGTCTTGAGTAAAGTTGCCTGAAGAACATGATCGAAAACAAAATTTAAACCAAGATTATGAGCTAGATAGAACACAATGAAGTTGACAATAGGCCTGACTGTGTTTTACAGTTACACGTGGAGACGAGGCTGGGTTGACCTAATGATGATAAATCAGTTAGTTGTTATGCTAACTAGTATTTTTTAAATATAATAATCATGAGAAAAGGAGACTGTTTGTATTAAAACAAGGCCAACGTCAGTCTCACATTCACTAAAAGGCTAAGGGCACCAAGCTCATAACTGTAAAATAGTCTATTGTCCATGAAGTACTTCCCCACAGAGGAACTGGCCAGTATTTGGTCAAGGAAATCAAAATAACACACTCCAAAAACTCTTTAAAAACCATTACTTCCAACCAAGATGAATTATCAAGTCCGTTGTTGTCAATTAATTCTTTGAAACTCCTTGACTAACTCCTTGACTTTGCGGAAGATGTTTCTTTCTTGGCCTTGCAAATCGATTTTTCACGAAAACCGGAAAGCCATTATAAGCCCTATACTAAGCTGTGACGAAATGTGTTGCTCGAGAAAGGACATTTAATCATCTTGACTTTTTTTAGTTTATTTTATTTCTGACCAATCATTTAAAACGTCGAAAACTTATTTTAAACAGGTCAAACATTCTCATTATAAGTAAACGTTTTTGTTGTTGTTTGCTTTTCGTTTGCTTGTTTGCTTGTTTGTGTTTTCTTTAGTTCGTCTAAGTCGATAATAAATGTGTTATTGGACGGTTTAGTGTGTAGCATCGTGGGATATTTTAAAGCTAAGCTTAAGACCTTTGTTTTTCGACAAGGATATTTTTAGACTTTCAGTTTTCTTCTTTTTTTGATTTTTAGGACTTTTAGACTTTTGATTTTTCCGATTCTTAGGATTTTTTTCTTACATTTTTTAGTGTATATATTATAATATATTTGACACTGTAAAGCGCATTTGGGCGTTAGGAAAATGCGCTATAGAAATAAATTATTTATTATTATTATATTGCTACCCGTTTCTTGTAATATGACCTAAAATTTGGTGGATGTCTGTAGGTGAGGTGCCGTACCCTAACATAATAATCCTAGCGGATCTAATCAGTTGGCTGTCCATGGGGAACCGTATGTCACGTCCGGAACATAGCTCAGACGAACTGTAAGTTTGCAATTGTCCTCTATACAAATGAATAAATAAATATTCAAAAATTCATTAATCAATCAATATTTTAATCAATATTTATCCAGGGGCATCCAATTTAGTAGAGCTAGTTTAAATGCAGCCCTGACACAACACAAAAGTAAAGACATTAAAATATTAAAACCAGAAAATTAATTAAGTTACAAACTTAAGCCAAAATGTACCGCAGGCGTTAATGTTTAAAATGGCGCTTTAGCTTGATTTTAAATTCGCTGAGCGTCTCTACTTGTCTAATGATCCCCCGGAGCTCTGGCGCGTCACGTTCTATTAACTGCGATTTACTGTTTCAATGTAAATCTTTATAGATTTAGGGCCTGTTTACATGGAGGTTGGGGGACACAAGGTAGGTGAGGTAACATGTGACGGGTCACCCCACCTATCATGTTAACGTGATCAAATTAAAATGACCTGTAACCTGGTATCTCCGTTACGTTGTAGTTACCTTGTTACTCTTAAAGTCGGTACAATACATGTCCCCATACATGACGAACGTACCGCTATAACAGTGTTGAGCGTTGCACTCAAGACTTATCAGTTGTGAATACACAAGGCATTAAGACACGCTTTTCCAGGAATGTCTTTGAAGTTTAAATAACATCATCCTAGGAATTTGGAGGGAAATGAATTCTGGCAGTCGTGAAAGCAATACGCCATTTGCTCGATGACGTCTTTTACTACTAAGACCAGACTTCATTTCGTTCTTTCTTTCAAATTTAAAATTGATAATCCCAGCGAGGTTTAAATAACAAAAGCCCTAGTTTACACAAGAAAGCAAAACCCTGAATTATTCTGGTAGCAGTAGTAAAATGACGTCATCGTGAATATGGTCTATTAATGGAATTGCGTAAGAAGCTTGAAAGAAAATTCAGGACTTCAACGGGATTTGAACCTGTGACCTCGCGCTCTAACCAACTAAGCTATGTTGGGAGCTATTATGTTGGGAGCTGGTCAGTTATGTGTTCATGTTCCCGTGAAAGAGATGAATGTGGAAAAATAATGTATATGAAATAAATCATATATGAGAACTGTTCCAGGCTCCGAGATAGTCGGGTCTACTGAATTGAGAAGGGGCGAACATAAAAAAAAAAGAAAAGAAACGAAGAAAGAAATCAAAAACGGGAGGAAGCTGGGGAGATGAATGACGGCGGAGCCTGTAATCTCTGCCAATTTTTCGCATGCCTTACACTTTCGTGTCAGTTTTCCCCCATTATCTCGAAGCCTGGAACAGGCTACTTAACAGTCGGATAGCGTTTCCTTCTTCAAGACGAGTTGTAATTAGGTATTACAGATTAATTATTCAAATATTTTCTGCTGTTATTTGTAGGTATGAAATGATGCGTTTATGTTGGTTAGAAAACCCTTTGATGAGACCCACATTTGCTGAAATAACGGAGCGATTCCAGTATTATTTACGAGAATATAAGGTGCTGTCTTCAGTCTTCCTTTGTTTAATCCATTAAATACTGTAAAGTGAAATCACTGAACAAATTTATTGCTAGTCCAAGAAAAGCCAATTTCGGTTTCTGTCAAAAATTATTGGTTAATTACTATTTATCAGCCACAAAAAAGGGAAAGCCGCTGTCGTTGACTTTCACAGGACCAAAAAAAACAAGAATCCGTAAACTTAAACATGGCGGAAACACGCGACCCCGTTGCGGTGAACTCGAGAGGGCGGAATGTCTAATATAAACAGTATTACGACACATTTGTTTGTTTGTTTATATATATTTCTTTACACCCATTTAGAGAAATTATGTGAATGTAACCGACGGTGGCTCAGAAAAGGACCCAGAAGTCTCGTTATCGGATGGGATTTCCTTGACCAAAACCACGACGGTTTGACAACTGGATGAGCACGCTACGAGGCAGTTCTTAGTATTGGTAGCAATAGAACATTTGTCAAACACCTGCAAGATCAAATTATGGTCAAAAGATTGAAAGGATACTGATACCCACACCACAACACACAAGCTAACCAAAAGTGGTTTCTGCAACACGAAGAAACTTAACCGCATTATTTTATTGCGATCTAAAAGTCGCAAGTTTGCTTAACTAAGATGACCAGTATGGATTATGTTTTTACTCATTGTGCACAATTTTTAACCGGGTTTGTTAAATCGTTATAACCTCTCTCAGGTGAAGTCACTGCTCCTGATCGTCCATTTAATTATTGTCATTAACAATGTCCAAAGTAGCCATTCGGAATGCAGCCATTCTCTTTTTCCTTTTATCCTTCTTCTTTTCCTCTGTGTTACCTTTACTTGCTCTGGCGTGATTTTTGGGCTTAAAAATGTCGGGATTTGGCCTTTTCCCGATGTTCGGTTAAAAAATGGCTATTAATTGTTTTCAGTAGGTCCATTTCTGAAAATCGAGTCGTTTTGGATTTTATATCATTAACGTTGATTATGTTGTTATTATAGATGGTTTTCACAGTGACTTCATCAAATTGTAAAGTCAAAATAGCTAGGTTTTACGAATTCTCATTTACATTAGGTTGAAGATAAAAAGTAAATCTTTGTACAAGTTTCCATTCCCTTAGCATGTTTCATTTCGAAAATACGGCAATTTGAACTTCCGAGTTTTCACAGTGTGTGATATCAAAATAGGAATGCTGTCTTGTTGAAAAAAAGCCTCTCCTCTTGATTTTCAGCAGTATAACCATTTTAAGTAATAGAAAATATGTTTATGCGCACGTATGCTAGTTCTCGAGTGAAAAGAAAGAGCTTTTATAGAAAAAGTGAACTCCAGATGTTTTTGTTGATTTCCGGTGGCCATATTGGTGGACCAAAACGGTCCACCAATATGGCGTCTCCATACAAAGATCTACAAAGTTGCGTGAAACGTTTCGGCAAATAACTCAGAAACTGTGGGCCACAAAGACCTGAGACTTATAGTAGTCTTTTATAACATTTCATTTTCTTGGCTCCTTCCACTGGATGTTTCCAATCTATTTTTTCGTTGCGTGACAGTGAAAACGATCTATTGTTTAAATTTATTTCTCTGTGGGTGTTTCTCCTTATTACATAGTATTCTGTGTTATGTAAAACATGCTTGCTTAACTAAGTTAACCAGTATGGATTATGTAAAATGGTAAAATTTATCTTTAAAATGATCTTAACTGCATAAAAACCTACGAAAATCACCTACAAGAAAATTAATAACAGTAACTGCTTCAAACTTTGTAATGAATAGACAACATATTTAATTTTTATTAAGTATTTTAGTATTTTAAATATTCACTTATTTAGCGTTTTAAGAGTATATTTTATGAAGTATCCCCAATTAGCCCTATTTAGGCCAATTTTTCTTTTTTCAACTTTACATGACAAAAATTCTCCATTTTTTTTCGTTCCCAGGCCCCGAAATCGTGTCCCAAAATCATGTCGATAATTGTTAATTTTTAGCGAAAAACAAAACTAGCCAAAGTTAACGATTACTTTCTCTAAATGTGCGGTTATATTTACGATATTTATTAATCACCCTATCTGGAAGTCGTAAAATACGTTGGGAAAGTGAAAAATAAACCATGTAAATCGGGGTTCGAAGCATCCTCGGAGACCCAGGGGCAGATAGTGGGGACAAGGGAAAGTCTAAACGGGCGGAAAAATGAGGCGCGAAGAAAAGTAAAGAACGACGAGAAGAGCCCCTGGGGACAATGTCTTACCAGACCAGTTCCAAACGGTCGCCGCCGTTCTGGCTTCTGATTGGTGCCAGAAAAACACAAGTTTTCTGGCACCAATCAGATGCCAGAACGGCGGCGACCGTTTGGAACTGGTCTGGTAAGACATTGTCCCCAGGGGCTCTTCTCGCCGTTCTTTACTTTTCTTCGTTCCATATATATTTTTCCGCCTGTTTAGACTTTCCCTCGCCCCCTTTACCTGCCCCTGGGTCTCCGAGGATGGGTTCGAAGTCGTCGAACTCGAAAGACGCCGTGACAGGCATTGACCGCTCGGCCAAAACACGGTCATCACTTCAAGCGGCCTAGTCGTTTAAAACATGCGTATTTGAAATATGTACGGGTTGATATGAAAAGCCTGGGATCTAATTAACATTTAAGCCCCAAATTCGTAAAATTCGTACTTGTTCGAGCGAAAAATATATGTAAATCGGCGTTTGAAAAACACTCCTTCACAAATGTTGGCGATTTTGCGGAGCGCCCCCGTCCTTCTTGTAATTTGCATCACGTTTGTCTTGTGTTGTGTAGAGGCCGTGCAAAACGACTAAGACAAGAAGGAAAACGGCGATGGTGGGAAATACAGCCAAAAAGGATATCCATCATTTTGGGCCCAAATAAACAAGTAATCTTTGAATCTATAAATTCCAAATTTGTCGTAAATTTATTAAGTTGCGCCCGGTTTCATGTTCAGCAACTGATAAATGTTCTATATGTCTGTTGGCAGTAAACTTCTATACGAATTGTACAATTGCAAATCTCCTCAACAAGACGCTGATGATCGTGATGAAGAAATGGATCCAGAGGAAAGCTTAGGCAAAACAAACTCCATTTTAAAGATTCTTATGCAAAACGTCGGACAGGAGTGTGGGATACCTAGTGTGATAATAAATCATAGACTTTGAGACGAACGTGGCTCTTTATCCCGCGATAAAAACCTTCCACGGGACGAGAATGCTTTTCGGCCGCCATTTTGTTTAGCCTTCTTCATCCAGCCCCATAGCCTTTTTATTCAAACTGCGCATGAGCAGAACCAATTTTTCAGTCTCAAGCAAATGTCTCCCTCAAAGGGCTCAATTTTTTGCAATGGAAAATACAAACGCGCTTGACATTTACAAAAACTAATGTGCTACAGAAACATAACTACAATACAGAGAAAATACTGACAGAATAGCATACATACTACAGAAACGCTACCTGCTATACAGAGTAGCCTGGGACCAGGCTTGGTAGTGAGGGGGGGGGGGGAGG